TCTAACTTGCCCCATGGGGGCTCTGCACACGTCTTGCAAAACTTGAGTGGCTTCCACACCTTCTCATCGCTACTAATTAGCTGTGGGGGTCTGTATTGCATGCAGACAGAAACATCTTCAACTTCTCTGACAATCTGAAATCCAGAAAGTTGCAATCAGCAACTTAAAAACTGGACAGGGGTAATCCACTTTGTCAGATTGTTTTCTGGGTTTGGTCTGTGTCCACAAGAAGTCTCTTGGACTTTTCCCAATTAGAGCCCAGTAGAGGCTGGTGCCTTTCTCTTTCTTCTGCATGGAAGGCAAGAAGTGAAGTGTAGGCGCAGGCTGTTCCATATTGCTTGACACTAGCCCTAGAAACCAGTCCCAGGCAAGTTTAGTTTCATGGTGTACACATAGACATGATGTATAGAGTTTATTTTGTAAGGATGAGCTTGGGGGAACTGGACCCTACTTGCTTCAGGAATACCCCAAATGTGAGAATCTTCCCCTTTCACCTTCCCAGTCCTCCTTTCAGAGCCTGGACCTGCTCATTTTGAAACCAGGTGGTATTTTGGGGAAGTCGTTTTTTGCCCTTTAGACTTGTAGCTTATGAATTTGGTCCTCTCACACTCTGGAGGTGACCTGGAGGATGGGCTGGTGGCCTTCAGAGTTTGGTACGGGGAAATGAGGCTCAGGCAGAAGCTGGAGGGGCAGATAATTTGGGGACAAGCAGTGGGATAAGAAGGAGATGGAGGATAGACTGTCAACCTTGGTAGGTTTTAGTAGCAGGTCAGAGCTCTATGCTGTCTGTGAACTTATATAATCATTCTAAATAAGACAGAAGAAGCCATTAATAAGTAAACAGTGATGAGGAGGATCAGAGAGGGAATGAAATGTCTGATGGTGTTCAAGTTGGAGAATTTGTGGAGGATGGATGATAAGCAGAAGACTGAGCGCTCCCTTTGAGCTGCAGCAGTGGTGGGACACTCCTGTGCTCATGTCACAGGGCAGGCAGTGGTGGAGCATGGTGTGGCTGCACTGTCCTTTCTGTGCCGGAATCTGCTTTGTCAGTACAAACTCCAGGTGGGCATCGCTTCCTCATCATAACAAATGGAGACCTAGCACTTGCCTGGTGTGACTTTGAGCTTTTGGCTGCTCTTCTTGAAATGATCCATTCCTCCCCTGGGGCAAAAGGATGCTCTCCAGAGTGAGGTATCTGTGCTACCTCAGCTTCTGCTTGGATCTGCTGGTGCTAGCAGAGAAGGGGGATGTCCGTCAACCCACAGCCTGCCAGGGCTGCTCGACATCTCATGAATGCATGTCCCTTTCTTTCTTTTTACTTTTCCTTTTCTGTGGTGTACAGTAGTTTCTCTGTCACAGCTCTGTCTCCCCCCAGATGAACTATGTCTGCCTGCCAGCTGTGCAGCGCAGGAGCAGGGCAGCCAGGACTAGATAGCACAGCTGCCCACAGACTTGAGGAGCAGTGACTAGAGCAAGGGCACAGGCACATCTTCTTTGTGGGGAGGGAGGTGAGAAGGTGGTGGTGTAAGGGAGCTGACTTGGAGGCAGACAGAGGGGGCAGAGATGGGAGGAGGAGGTGAGTGGTCTGGCCAGGCTCAGCTGCTTTGTTGAGCACATCATGTGAAGAGCAGGCGAGCTGCTCCCCTCCGATGGGCAGTGTCGCTGTGAATCGCCATCAAAGCAGATGAGATTTCACACCACACAAATTTTTGAATTCAAAAGGGGATGGGGGGGTAGAGAAGCAAGAGAGGAGGAGCGGGAGAGAGGGAGAGAGAAGACGCAGCCTGGCTGGGTGCCAGCGCCTTGTGCCAGTGCCATGGGGAAGGTGGCATCGTTCCCCAGCGTCCCCTGCAGCCCCACGCTCAATGCTCCCTTCCTCTTTGGTTGCGTCTCTGTAGTGAATGCACTCTAAAGCAGTGTGCAGAGCAACGGCTTGGTCTCTGTCTCCTCATCTCTACTCTTCTGCTTTTTCTTTTAACCTCTCATTCTTTTCCAGCTCCCTATCCCCAGGCTCCTTTGCCCCTTACTTCCTCTGAGCCCTCTTCGCTGCTCCCTTACCCTAGTAGTCTTCTGTCCTGCACTACTTGCTCTCCCATCTCTCATCTCCACTTGAGTTGCCCTCATCACCACTCCTGCCATCATCACTCTTCTGTCCTCTCCTCACTTTCCCACCTTTTAATCTCCCCTCTCCTTTATTGCCCACTGACTCTGGGGAGACACCCAGAACTGGGAACACCCACTGGCTTCCCTTGGCCAGTTCTCTCCATGCTATCTCCTGTGGCACATGTTTTTTCACAGCAGCTATCAAAGTAATTTGTTTAAAATCATGAAAGCATGAGGCAGAGACTGATAGTATGGCCTTCAAGAACAGACAGGAGATGCACAGTGACCCCACAAGGTCACTGGGATGCCTGAGTTTTACTCCTGCTCCCCTTTGGCTATGAGAGGTGGAAAGCTTCTCATCCCTTTGCCAGGTCCAACCCTCCTTTGTTACACACCCACCTAAGGAGGTGCAAAAACCGCTTGGTGGCTCCCTCTAGAAGTGAGTGAATGGTGGGGTCAGGGAGAAAGGCCACAGGCGGGCGTTCTGCCAATGGTGGTGAGTGCTGCGTACAGCAATGGTTTATCTCTGGAAGATGCTGAGTTGCAGAGGTTGCCCAGCCTTTAATTCGAATAAAAGAAAAATTGTTATCTCATTTTTGAGGACTAATGTCCTCTTTTTCTCATTTTTCTCCTTTTTGTCCTGTCTGTCCTGAAGTTCTCTTCTTTTGAATCTACAGGGCTAAATTCTACCCTGATGTAAATCTCTGCTGATGTAAATTGGTGTGATCTTGCAAAAATCATTGGAGTGGCTCTGGATTTATGCTGGCTGTTAGTGCTAGCAGGGTTTGGCGCATGGCATGCAGTGGCCATAGCTCACTGTGTCGTGCTCTGCATTTCCAACCAGCACTGCAGGTGACAAGCAAATCCTGCTGAGAGGCGAGCGGGTCGCTCTCGAAGCAGAAGAGGCTTCCCTTGGATGTCCTTCGTGTGGCCAAGTGAGCCAGCTGGGCTGCAATTTGGGGATGGACACTGTGGAAAGGTTTTAGCCTGCGGGGTCGCACAAATGGGGTGGAAAATTTTCATTTAATACGTGCTTTTTTTTGTTGGGTTTTTTTTTTTTTTTTTGCATCTCACACGTTAGGGAAAATTGGAAAGCGCGTTTGTAGCTGCTATTTCCCACGGGTGCAGTATAATATATACAGTATATGCTGTGTGCGGCACAGGGGGATGAGTCATACCCATTTGTGACTCTTTGGTCTCAGTGCCCGGCCAGGATGGACTCTCCAGGGAGCTCTCCTGACAAGGTGCACTCCCCAGGTATGCTCTGGGTGCACTCCACACCACAGTCCCCCCATCACAGTGCCCCCCACCCTGCTCTGGGTTGGGGTGGGACAGGCACTGCGTTCTCATTCATCCGCCCAGAGGGGCCAAACGCAGTGGCTGCAAAAGCCACACGCGCGGACCCAAAGCCGCAGTGATCATCTGTAAGTGACTCCTGTCCTGTCATCCTTCCTCCCCTCCGTGCTTTCTCCTCCACCTCAACTGCATTACAGATAAAAGGGTTAAGAGCTCACTTGGGCCCCCTGCTCTGAGAGAGGGCAGTTGCAGTGTTGTATCTAGACCCAGCGAGGATATATATAAATTCCCTTCGTCTCTCCGGATCTATTTATAGCACGGCAGGCAGTGGCAAAGGCTCTCCTCAAGGCTTCATCTCCTACAAACAGTCTTCACAGACAGCAGAGAGATAAATTTAGCACACGAGATTTCTTAAAGAGCCAGCAGCTCTGCGGGGCCACGCGCCCGCCTTGCTCAGCCCCCACCCTTGTGCCCCCAGGACTGCGCTGTCCCACAGGTGCCTGCACCCACCTTCCCCCCCTCTGCCCCCTCTGGTTTTCTGTCCAGATTCACCCACACACCCTCTTTCTGCTCTCTTTTTTCTTTCATTG